AAAAACAGCATAGTTGACCATAAATTAAACCGCCAAAGGGTACGAAAAGTTTATGGGTCAACCCTAGAACATAAATAGGTCCTTTCAAGAACCTTTTTCCCTTCTTCATCTACCATGCAGAACACGGAATACACTTTTCTTCCGGATATACACACTAAATTTATTCTCTATGGAATGGAGATTCTGTTTCTAACAAATTAGAAGGGAATCTCGATTAAAAGTTAATGGTACATAAGCATGTTCAGCAGCAGCAAACCTGTTCATTCTACAGAGGAACGGTAAATCCAATACGGTTCCACTATGGCAAGTATCAATGATTTCGTGAAGCTCAACCCCATGAGGTAGTGGTCGAACAATAGTTGCATTTATCTCATCATCAACAATCATCCCTTGAGCTTCGAAATCCAAAGGACAAAGGATCTCATCATAGCCGTCGACTTCATCACCATTGTAATTCCGTAGCCGCGAACCGTGACCGGCATAGTGAAACAACAGAGAATCACCAGGTTGACAACCTTGAACTAGCCAATATAATGCCATCCTCAAATTATGCTTCTTCGGAAGCCTGTAGGGATCAGTTTCTTCTTCTGCATTCGGAAAGAAAGTTAAAACTCTTTTAATTATTTAATTCAAATACGCATTTAATAAAACTCGAGTTAAAACCATAAAATAAATGCATCATACAGAAAGGAAAGATTCCCTGAGGTAGCTATCAACTTTTATGGTCAAAATTCGATCTTTAAACCCTAGAATTTACAGCCTGTTCAAATATTGCTCAATAGAGTTTGATTCCAACTCGAAAGAGAAAAACAATATACCAAATTTAATGATGAAAAGAAAAAGGAAACAAAGAAGAAAGATTACCGGTGAGCATGAGAATGGAATCTTCTGGAAACTTAAACCTGTTGACGAGAAGGTAACGCATACATTTGGCGTCGTTAATGCAACCCTTGAATTCGTGCCTCGAGTATCTATACAATATCCCAAAGATCACCGCCCTTTTCCGAACATGCATGTGGGGAGGAGCACCGGGAGGCGCGTGGGAGGAAGGAGCAGGCGGCTGGGAGGGAGGAGAGGCGGATCTAGGATCGGCTACTAATGTAGGCTACATGAGAGTCGTTTCAAATATATGTTGGTTGTACTAAAATGGCTGAATATACACTAATACGATTAAATACATTACATGAATTTTAGATATATGTTCTGCTCAACTACTAATATAGGCCATATTTCGAAATGAAACATTTTATCGGCATGTCGCCACCATTGTTGCAGTCGAAACCCTACTTGACTCTACACTGCAGCGCATCCCACGGCATTGTAAGCACCACCAAAGCTAAGAAAAATCGCCACTGCAGACCAGACAATATGAAAGATAATCTCTCGATAAAGCTTAGGTCGGGTCAAGCTTGTGGATTTTGAAGCCGAAAACTCCGGGGATGTAGTTTTGCATTGGCTTCTGTGGCTTTAGGTGCGGATACGTCATCAGAAATAGATGTGGAAATGTAGTTCCAAAGTAAGCACCGTCGTTGTCTTGTTAATACGTCAAGGAAATGAAGCTGTAAATCAAAGTAATACAACTATGATTTGGTAACATGATGATTTTCGACACCACCTTATCCGACACCGAAACGCAAAACAACTTACATTCCAAAAGACATTTATACTGATATCCAGGGTTTTAAATATCGTTCGCGGTCACGTTTTCGGTCGCATCGCGTTTATCACGGTTGCGGACATAACGTATGTCATTGTCATTGCGGGTATCGCGGTCGTGAATTTTTTTAAATGTCGCACAACTTACTCTAAAATGACTAAATTAAATATAATTAAAATAAAATTATAAAATTTAAATTGTAGAAATTTAGATTACTAAAATTAAGACTAAATTAAATAAAAAATAAAGTTTACATTTTAAACTATGAATTAAATTATAAATTCTAAAAATTGGAGGGATGTCAAATTAATATATCCTTTAAAATTATATTTTAAAAATTATTAAAAAAAGAAATAAAGCCCCCTCCCCCTCCCCTCCCCCTTCCTCCTGCATGTTTATTCTCACCGACGATTACACTATGTTTCCCAGGGAAAGATTACTCCAGAAGATCAGCAGTCTAGCCCAGTTGCTTTCCTTCCAATCGCTTCCTCAAGTTCGTCGATCCTCTCAAATTTCTTATTCTCCTCCCCTTCCTCCCCCTGATTTCATTGTTTGAAACAAAATAAAAATGATTTCATTGTCTGAAACAAAATAAAAAATTTCTTTCACTCTCAACTCCCCTTCCTCCTCCCCGACTTCTCATTTTTTGAAACAAAGAAAATTGCGGTTGAAAATTGAAATCACGGTTGGAATAATGCTTATTGCGTCCCGTGATCGGCGCAATTGTCCGTTTCCCATTAAATTACGAGCGCAATCGACCTCAAACGGTGTGAATCTGTGACCCACCGCAAAAACCATGAATAACGGTTTCAGACGGTGGCGTAATCGTAATATCACGACCACTATAATGTTTTTGGAACGCTATTTGATACCCTGTTGATATCATAATCTTTGGGAAGGAACAGAGGAAAAGGATAGTATATCTCCCACTAAAGTATGTGCAGGCTTGACCGACCAAACCCATCATCTCATATTGGGAGAAGAATGTAATAAAAAAGGCAAAAACCGACTTGGGAAGGAATGTAGTGAAAAGCACACATCCAAATAATGCCAGATCTTATTGTCATGATATAAATGTAAAAGGGAATTTGAATCACCATATCAATCCTTTAGGATCAAACGTTTACGATCAATGCAAGTGCACATATGATCTAAGAGACCCTAATGATTATATCATCTTTTCAAAGAATCGAGTAATCTCATAAACGATAATCGGGATAACTTAATACGCAAGGACAGAGAGTAGTGCAAAACACAGACAAAGAGTACATGGAATATAAGGATACTGCCTTGAAATTTGGATCGAGGGTAATATATATCTTCACACTTTGGACAGTAGATTTTCACGGTACTCGAACGAGGAATATCTGACTGACCAACTTGAAGACAAGATTGTCCACAGCAATAAACTCTAGGGCATATTCCAAAATCATAGTTTCTGTATTTCTCCAACTGAGATAGATTAAGAACGAGACATGACAAGTCAATAGAACGCAAAGAGAAAATAGGAAAATTGACAGCAATATTTACCATAGCTGACATTCCCTTGCTAGTTAATATGTATCGTACGTGTATAAGACCATACAATATCTCAGCAGCCGATTCAACCAATTCATTTTGTTCTTCAGTGAACGTATCACCTATAAAATCCAAAAACACATTTACTTAATACCAAGAAAGAATGTGCACCGATGGCTGCAGAGTTACTTCAGTATCAAGAAGCAAAAGTAGACACCATATTTTATAGAATAAAAAACTTGACATTCAAAGCATACAGGCGGACATGACAGATAATGTGCAGGCTGTCTCGCACCTTATTTCCTAGAAAATTTTGATCTACTCTTCTAAATTCTTTCCCGGTCAGAATCTTCATGAGGATCCAAAACCAAAACTATATTGTAGAGCCCTCACCCCAGAGAAAAGATTTATAGACACTCATTTTTTTCGGGTCTTCTTTGATTACTATTTATTATTATTATTATTATTATTATTACATATTTTGTAGGCCCAAGACAACAGTCCACCAGAAACTAACCCAACTCAAACTCGACTAGGGTTTTACCCATTAGCCCCAGCTGCCCTAATTTCCAACCGTTGGATCTGATGGAGATCCAACGATCCTCAGCTATCTAAATTAGGGTTTTAACCTTAAATATCATCCACCCGTCGCCGAAAAGAGGATCTGGACCGTCCATCACGGGCGCATGTGATACAGCGTCCATCACGGGCGCATGTAATACAGCGCCCAACCTTTCAACTTCCAGACGCGTGAGCAAGCAACCATCACCATGGAGATCCACACCGCTGCCACTGGCATTATCTTTTCAACCTACAGTGATGGAAATCAACATCAATGTCAAATAACCTCATAAAAAATAAAAACAAGTCCAAATCAAATCCTATTCTGTCAATCAATAGGATAATGATACCCTCTTCCCTCAGCCATCAACATACGTCGTCATAAAAGAAATAGAGAGAACAAGCAAGAGGCAGTTTTCAAATAGAAGGGAAAAAATGAGAGGAAGAAGAAAAAAAACTTAAACACGAAAAAAGAAGAAAAAGGCAAAAAAATAATAAGAAGAGAGGAGAGGGCTTATTGTGGACGAGGTTCGAAGGAAGCAAGTTGGGAATCCAAAGGTCGATGGTTTTCAGAATTTTGAAAAGGTATAAAACCTAGATCTAGGGTTTTTTTTTACTAAAAACAAATTTCTTCTCACTTGAGACAGTTTTCCGTAAATATAAAGCAAATTTTGTCTCGTTGAAGACAATTTCTTTCGACACAAGTTTCGTCTCGCTTGAGACAGTTTTCCCCCTGAGACGCAAATTTTGAATCTGTTTCACTTGAAACGAAGTTGATATCACTCGAGATTGTTTTTCTCAAAACAAACTTTGTCTCACTTGAGATAGTCTTCCTTAAGATACGAATATTTGATATTGTTTTTACTCAAAAAAATCATCTCACATGAGACAGTTTCCCTTGGAACACAAATTTCAAAATTGTTTTATTTGAAACAAAATTGATCTCACTTGAGATTGTTTTCTTAAAAACAAAGTTTGTATCGCTTGAGACAGTTTTCTTAAAAAAAAATTCTCCCTTGAAATAGTTTCTCTTAAAACAAGTTTTGTCTCTCTTTAGACAGTTTCTCTCAAAACATAAAAGCATTGAGATTGTTTCCCCTGAAACAAATTTTGTCTCGCTTGAGACAGTTTCTCTTGAAACATGTTATCCTTAAAGATGGCCATAATTCCTCATCACGTAGAAACCGTTTCATCCACCGACCAGATCTCCTCATCATGTAGGAGCTGCATCATCCTTAGATAGCCAGACTTCCTCATCACGTAGGAACAATGTCATTCACCGACCAGATCTCCTCATCACATAGGAGCCGTATTATCCTTAGATAGCCAGACTTCCTCATCATGTAGGAACCGTGTTATCTCCTTTATCCCTAAAGATGACCAAACATCCTCATCACGTAGGAACCGTGTCATCCATCGACCAGATCTCCTTATCACGTAGGAGCCATGTCATCCTTAGATAGTCAGACTTCCTCATCACGTAGGAATCGTGTTATCTCAATTTATCCCTAAAGATGGCCAGACGTACCCTCATCACGTAGGAACCCTGTCATCCACCATCCATATCTCCTTATCATGTAGAAACAGCATCACCCTTAGATAACCAGATTTCCTCATCGCATAGGAACTGTGTTGTCTCCAAATTTACGTAAAAATGACCAAAACTCTTCATCGTGGATGAGCAATTTCGTCTCTTTTATCAAATTTCAAAGCCAAAACAAACAAACACTCGTTGTCTTATCGTCTTTGCCCTATTCTTGTTAACACTAGAATGTGCAAAAAGGTTCAACTGTAGACACCCATTTTGTTCGGGTCTTGTTTGATTATTATTATTATTATTACTTATTTTTGTAGGCCCAAGATAATAGCCCACCAGGAAACTAACCCAACTCAGATACAAGTCCACCCAGAAACTAACCCAACTAGAGCCTAGACCCGAGGCCCAAGATCCGACCCGGTCCAGGCCCAGCACTCAAACCCAGCTAGGGTTTTTACCTATTAGCCCCAGCTGCCCTAATTTCCAGTCGTAGGATCTGATGGAGATACAACAATCATCAGCTATACAAATTAGTGTTTTAACCCTAAATATCACCCAGTCGCCATCAACAAGGGGATCTAGACTGTCCATCACCGACGCGTGTGATACACGCACCCAACCTTTCAACTTTCAGACGTGCGAGCAAGCAATGATCACCATCGGAGATCCACATCACCGCCGCTGTCATGCCGTTTTCAACCTACAATGATGGAAATTAACATCAATGTCAAATAACCCCATAAAAAATAAAAACAAGTCCAAATCAAATCCTATTCTATCAATCAATAGGATAATGATACCCACTTCCCTCAGCCATCAACATACGTTGCCATAAAAGAAAGAGATAGAACAAGCAAAAGGTAGTTTTCAAATAGAAGGAAAAAACGAGAGGAATAAGAAAAAACTTAAACACGAAAAAAGAGGGAAAAACATCAAAAAATAATAATAAGAGAGGATAGGGCTTACTGAGGATGAGGCTCGACGGAAGCAAGTTGGAAGTCCAAAGGTCACCGGTTTCCAGAGTTTTCAAAATGTATAAAACCTAG